TGAAAACACTGATTTCCCATTTTATTACTATGTTGACTTAGAATACACTGACTAAGATTTTATCTATATTAATACTACCATTTGATTTTTTCGAAATTATTATGTGCACTAATTTGTGAAATAGAAATACAATTATAACCTTGAGCAATAAAAAATAAATTCAAAGTTTTAAATAATTATTTAATATTACCAATATAAAATATAGTTAATGTAGTTTACTAAAAGTCTATATGAAGGATGTTAATGACTAATAGTTTAAATATTTTTTAACCCTTACTGTATATGCAAGTGTCTAACTTCACTTTTCTTACAGTGTCTACGTTAATTTTTAATGCTTATGGCTTTTTAAAGTTTTTAACGTTACAATTTTTTTATCAAATCGCTGCAACTATTAACTAATCCCGACGGGCATTTGTTTTTAAAAGTTACGATCTAAATGTATTTTAACTGTCTTTTAAACGTCTTTTAAACATTAATGTTTAAAAGACGTATAAAAGACGTTTAAATCACATTTAGAACGTAACTTTTAAAAACAAATGCCCGTCGGGATTAGTCTTCAATATCATATAAACTTCAAATTTTTAGACAAATAATTTTTTCACCTCACATTGCATTGTAAAGTAAGAATGAAATTAGTCTAAAATCTTGGAATTTCAAAATCGATTTTAATTCTAAGTTATAGCTAGTCGCAGCTGATTTTTTTAAATAGCATTAAACAACCGTTATACTTCCTAAATATCATTAATTCCAATTTCAAGAGAGCGGCATTTAGTTGGAATCGAGTACTTAAATATTCAATTTTTACGCTTTTATAGTGAAATGATTTTCTTTTTTTTTCCTTTTTTGAAAATATTAAAATAATAAAATAAAATTTATTTTAAATAATAACGGTTTGAAGTGTTTAATAAAATTAAAAAAAAAAAAAAAAAAAAAAAAAAACTATATTCCTTAAACAAATACATTAACTTTAAATTGGTCTTTTTATAAAAGCAAAATAAGTCGTCGATTTTGAACTAAAAAATATATCATAAAGAATACATGGTCGCAGCTGGGTTTTTTTTGAACAATAACTGCCGTTTAGTAAATGCAAAAATCAGAAAATTAAACAATCTTCGAGTGGCATTTAGAAAAAGGAGGATGAGGAAATTTAGAAAAACACCTCTAAAATGCCAACAATTCTAAGACATATTATGAATAAATTAAATACAAATGTATAACTAAAACATATACTTTTTATAAGCACTAAGTTAATATGTTTATTTAAAATAAAAATAGTCCAAAGCTTTTTTAATTGAAAAAAGTTATGTAAATTTTGAGGATAAGTATTTTTGAAAAAAAAAATTTGCGAAAATTTGACAATTTTAAAGCCATTATGAATGGTTCTAGCAAGCTTGCCTTCATCTCTAGTAATTAAGCGGATACATTTTTGAATGGAGTAAAGCACCTTTGTTTCAATAATGAAATAAAAAAAAAGTTTAGAAGATTTGACTTTTTTGGGACTTTTGGCCACGGAAAAAAAATTATGGCTTACTGTGCGATGGATAGAAGTCATTAGATAACCACGAAAAGAAGCAATCGCTAGAAATCCATCCGTTAATGGATCGCCCAAGAACATAGTCAAATGGATTTACATGGTCTAAATTGTAACGAAGCTATGCTCCTGGAAATATCACTAGAGGTTTTTGGTAGTTTCCATCTCCGGATACACAGCCAGAAACTGTTATTTGCGTTTTTATGTCAGGGGCTTTGCGATACACATTCTTTATACCCTTTGAGGCAATTGCTTTCAGCCTTCTCAATGTCCCTGCTATTGGAAACCCTGCTTCGCCCAAATTAAACACTTTACTAGAGTTTTCTGGTAATAGAAACTCTGAAACTTTTATTTGGTGTTCTTCAAACAAATACTTTTCCAGGTCAGTAAACCATTGTTTGATTTGAGCATGAGAAACGTTTCGCCGCTGGTGGCCCAAATTTTTAGGGATTCTTCTTGCAAGATCTGAATGCCTTTTGAAAAAAAACAGGTTTATCAAATTAAACACAGTTTTAGTTGATGGAACAAAAGATGATAGTTCCTTGTAGCAGCAATCATTATACTATTTGTAAAAAAAAAAAAAGATGCAATTTTAGGGCAATGGGAAGGAGGCTCAAGCTTGGGAGATGGAGCGGGTCCAACTACGCTAACAATGCGATTTTGAAATTTGTCTGAAAGAGTAAGAGTATCATTACAAAAACCAGCCGATGAAAACAGTATAATGAAAAAAGTATTCCAAACAAGTACGAATAAGAGATATGTAGAGTTAAAGAATGGATTAAGGAGTGAGAAAATGGCCAGCGCGATAAAGGAATGAAACCTTAGAATATGTTAATTTAACAATTGGTTGTATATATAGTGTTGTGTGTCATTGATAATTAGCGTGCTAATTATTGAAAAAAGTCACAAGTTGTGATTTTCTATTATTATAACGTTTTTTATTAATTGTCGACAAGAGTCACAAGTTGCATTATATGCTATATAAAGCGAACAATTTTTTTTGTAAATGTGAACTTTGTATATAAGTAAAAGAAAACGTTAACAACAAAAAATGGCTTTTAAATGTGTCGAACAACAAGCTAACCGGGCATGTCTATTATCCCCGCAATATGAAGATGGACAACCAAAGCGATTTATTCGACAGATGACTTCCTTCTTTGCAATAAACAATATAACTTCAGATCAACACGTAGCGTTTTTGCCTGCCGCTCTGCCGTTAAAGACTTACAAGACCATGGAAGAATTAACAGCACCGGAAGTTCCAGAGGATGTTTTGTACAAAGAATTGGTAACGAAATTGGAAACGTTGGAAATAAGAAAATCATCGTTAATCTCACGGTATGAGTTTGGAAAATTTTACCGAGGTACTGAAGAATCTATATAGACGTTTGCGCATCGAGTGATTCGAGCAGCTCAAGACTGCAAGTTCTTGCCCTCAGAGAGAGACGGTCGACTTTGTGACCAATTCATAATTGGCATTAATGATGGTGTCATTCTGCGTGCCATTCTTCGGGGAGACGATGCATTGAGCTTTGACGATTGTGTCAAGACTGCATCCGTGGTTGCACAAACAAGATTAGATGCGGCATGTTTATCTGTAAATGAAGAAGTAAATGCGATTCACCGGACGACTGGAACGACAAGTTATATACGAAGAAAGAAAGAAATTCGATGTTACAACTGTGAATCCTTAAATCACTTTGCACGTGAATGTACCTCTTTATGCAAAAAATGCTTGCATAAACATGCTGAAAAAGACTGCTACAAACGTCAAAGAAACCAGGAAAACTTAAATGGGACGAGTTCGCGTTAGGTATCTTTACAAGAACTCGTCCCGAAACAAGGCGACCTACTATTGACTTGGTAATAAACGGAAGAAAAGCTACAGCGCTTGTGGATACTGGTTGTTCGCAATCGATCATCACCAAGAAGTTACTGCCGCCTGACTATAAAGTGATTCGTGTAGTAAATGTTGCAACAATGGGCGGAATAATTCGATGCGAAGAAGTTAGTGCTAAAATATGCCACCCAACGAACGGGTTCTTGGTGGATGTGGTGGTTCTGAGTGTGAATGAAGTAATAAACAAATACGACATGATTATGGGTATGGACTTAATAAAGACGTGTGATGGACTACAAATTGGCACTGGAAAATTGAAATTGTGTAATTCTTTGATTGAGTTGTCATCGAAACTTCGTGTTGCGACAATTGAAATTGGAACAAGCAAAGCTTAATTTGATGGCAAAAAGTGGATTGTAAGTTGGGAGTGGGAAAACGAACCTAAAATTAAAAATAGAACAAGTCAGTATAATGTAGCTGACCAACATTGTGAGGCGTTTAACAACGAAATAAATGAATGGATCAAAGAAGGTATACTCATCAAATATGACGATAAAATTATGGAAAAACCTAAAGGTCTACTACCGTTAATGTGTGTCATTCAAGATAATAAAAAGAAGATAAGACCTGTGCTTGATTATCGTGAGCTTAACACGTATGTAAAAGCCTCTACAAGGGATGCTGATGTCATCAATGATGCAATGAGGGAGTGGAGACTCATGAGTAAAAACAGCAATGACTCGGTAGTGGATCTAAGAAGAGCATATTTACAAGTTCATGTGCATAAAAGGTATTGGCCTTACCAGACGGTCATCTATAAAAATCAGCGATATGCACTTACACGTTTGGGCTTTGGTTTTAGTTTGGCACCAGTGATGATGAGCTCAATATTGCGGTATGTTCTCCAACAAGATTCTGCACTGGAAAAAACTACAAGAGGATACATTGATGACGCCCTTGCAACCAATGGAAATGGAAGAAAGCTGGTGATACATATGAAGAAATGGGGTCTTCATGCAAAAGCACCTGAATATTTTGGCGAAAACCCAGTTCGTGCACTAGGATTAGAAGTCACAGTAAATCCATTAACAAAGGAGATGTTTTGGAAGAGAGGACGCGAGCTTCTGTGCTCACAAAGAGGGATATATTCTCATTATGTGGTAATATGATTGCTAATTTACCAGTTGCTGGATGGTTGAGACCGGCATGCAGCTATATAAAAAGATGTACAAACGAAGCAGGTTGGGATGAACCTATTACGAATAAGTATGTTATCGAAATGATGCAGGAAGTTGTAGATAAAGCCGTAAAGTGCGATCCGGCAAAAGGTATTTGGAATGTTAAACCAAATGCATCTCTGACTGTATGGTGCAACGCAAGTTCGCTGGCAAAAGGAGTTGTGATAACACAAGGTTACAGAAAGATAAAAGATGCGACATGGCTCCGACCAAAGTTTGATGCAATGTATATCAATGTGGCCGAATTAGATGCATGTATTGAAGGGCAAATATGGCATTGAAATGGAATCCAAGTGATGTCTTCATTAAAACTGATTCTCATAGTGTATTTAGTTGGTTAAATTCTGAACTGACTCGTGACAAACCTGTGAAATGTGCTGGGCAATGCGAAATGTTATTTCGACGAAGACTTCAAATATTTGAAAAATTGGTCGAGGATTATGTCATAAATGTAACTGTTACATGGGTACCAACAACTAAAAATATTGCAGATGAACTCACAAGAGTGCCAACAAAATGGATAAAAAACAAAGTTGCAACACAAGAATGTAATACCATTTACAAGTACGATAAACAGCAGATTCCAAAAATTCATTCACTAGCACACATGGGAGTTTCCAAGAGTATGGAGTTATGTATGCGCGCTGGTATCCACGTTACCAGAGACACAGTGAAACAGGTTGTCGCTGAATGCGATGAATGTAAATCGATTGACCCTAATGTGATGTTGTGGGATAAAGGAAATCTTGTTGTCAGCAAAGTATGGAAAAGAGTAGCCTGCGATGTTACTCATGTTGATTCATCGCTATATCTCACTTGTATTGATTGCGGCCCAAGCAGATATACGTTATGGACACCATTAAGCGACGAAAGTGCAACTATGGTTGTTCAAGCGTTAGAAACAATATATTCAACACTTGGACCTTCTTCTGAAGTTCTTCTAGATAACTCTAAGTCATTTAGATCTCAGCTTATGCAAACTATGGCTGCAAAATGGGAAATAAGGCTCATCTATCAAGCTGTTCAAAAACCATCGGGAAATGGAATAGTTGAAAGAGTTCATCGGGCGGTAAAAAGAACAAATGCAAGAATAAAATGTGGTATTCCCATGTCTGTATTTTTAATCAATAACGTTCATTCAAAACACGGCACACCTTTTGAAATATTTTGCCAACATCGCAAACGAGTTCGAATTTCTGGAATCGATAAAATCGAATCACAACAAAACTCGATGACAGAGTGTCGTGAACGGAAAGTTGGCGACAAAGTGTGGGTGAAACCCAAGTACAAAACGCCGTGTACGCAACGATGGCTGAAAGGAAGTATAGTGGCATTGCATAATGATTTAACAGCTGAAGTCGATGTCAACGGACATACGTTCACTAGACGACTGATCTTACAAATCCTACAAGAATCCTATAGGATGAGATGCACAAGTCCCTGCAGGACTTACAAGAATCTTTTAAAGGATCTTGTAGGATTTGAAGGAATTCTTATAAGATAATATAAGATCTACAAAAATATTTTAAAAGATCTTGCAGGATTAACAGGATTCTTATAGGATGCTGAAGGAAAATTTTAGATTCGTATATATACGGCCCTAGCCCTCCTCCTTAATCCAGAACTAGTTCCTATAGGAACCAGTGATAGATTAATGAGGAGGGGGTTAGGGCTCTAAAATTTCGGGATTCCGAAAATATTAAGCGGACCTTTTTCTTTTTCTGTTTTAGTCATTTTTATGCTGTGGCACGTTAAAAAGGACTCCGGGCCTTGAAAAGTCTTAATACGCCAATGATAGGAACCATAACATTTATTATTTTATAATTAATATCATAAATCTAATAACCAAACTAAGAACATACGAAGGTGTTTATTTTGATTGGAAGGAAAGTATGTCTATTCTTCTTTTTAATTACTAATAATAGGTAAGTTAAAGTTTGAAATAACATTTTCTTATTAAAAAAAAATCATTCTGTTTAAAAGAAATTTTTTACATATTATCATTATTACAGAATCACAATTGCATTGCTGATTACTTTTGTTTTTTCTTCCTATCTAGGCCGCTCTGATTAGGACTTCGTCTGACACACGCCCATGAGTAATTGGCAAAAACTGTTTCGAGTTGTTCTTTGAGATTTCGTATTATTGCTTCAGGAACTGTGGTTCTATAATAAGAAATAAATATATATAGAAAAAATCATAGAAATCAGGCAATTAATCATTAATTATAAATTTAAAACCCGTCCCGCCCCTTAACTCATCGCAGACACAAGGGAGGGGGGATTATTACCCCCTGACAAAATTTTTAAATTATTTAAAGAGTATGACTTGTAAAAAGTAAAAACACTTGAAATTTTAGCTACTTGCTCTAAATATTTAGGCAAATTTGAGTAAAAAAAAATTCATTTGAAATGCCTAATCTGAGCATATTAGTCAAATCCATGGATCGATTCGGTCAAACGAATGACTGGTCAAAAACTTAAATTTTGAATTCTGGCTTTTCATTGTAATCCTGAAGTTTCATACTTTCCAAGAAGCTTTTTTTATACTTACATATTTATAATTATTTCAATAAATGAAGTATGAGAAAATGTTAGTCCAAGATCCTACTTTTTTGGATCTTGATCATGATCCAACAAGTTAAACTAATTGATCCCAAATTTTCAAAATAGGTTAAGTAAAATAGAAAATTTAATAAAAACCCAAGCACTGAAAGTATGATTTTCTAAATAACCCCCTCCCACCCTATGCCAACAACTTATAGAAAATAGGTAAGCCTTAAAGCTGCTGCCCAATAACATTACCTACATAAAAATGCCCTAATTAAAAAACCTACCTATCAGCCTCTCCATGAGTTGTATTCAGGGTTTCTCTAAAACATTTTAAATTTAATAGTATCGTGTTAAAAGTACAACAAACTTTCATACTTTAAAATATATATATATATATATATATATATATATATATATATATATATATATATATATATATATATATATATATATATATATATATGTATATATATATATATATATATATATATATATATATATATATATATATATATATATATATATAGTTTAAAATTTTCATAAAATCCATAATATAAAATAATCATGATATAGCAACTATTTATATATTTCTTTGTCAAAAATTAAATAGATATTAGATTCTCAAACAGCATGTTCATTATAATGAACATGCTGTTTGAGAATCTAATATCTTAATTTTTATCTAATATCTTAATTTTTGTAATTTGTGACGTGATTTAAATGCGCTAGTGACGTGATTTAAATGCGCATTATGAATTGCGGGAAAATAAATAGCACTTGATTGCAATTTATTTTCCCGCAATTCATAATGCCTAATGATTTAAATCACGTCACCCTACGACTCAATTTACTCAGAAAGTCACGCAATTCAATGTACACTCTGATTGCGAGAAAAATTTTTAATTCAACTAGATTTTTTTGGTAATAATTTAATTTTAACGTAAGGGACAGGTTGTTCCGGGCAGCAGATTTCCAAGGGACACTAAATAGAATGAAGGTACCTTGGAACAAAGGTCCTTTACCAATAATATAGGAGAATTTCGATTATAAAGAACGCCAATCATGTTGCTGTCCCCGGCGGCAAAACAGTTCTTGGCGGCATTTTATATATATATATATATATATATATATATATATATATATATATATATATATATATATATATATATATATATATATATATATATATATATATAGTTATTTGTTATTGTTTATTTTTTTTACAACACTTTTATTTATATACATTCAATAAAAACAGTTTTTAATTATTTTGTAATTATAATATATTTTTATTTATTTCCATACTTATAATGTTGTGTAGCGCAGGTGGTAAGGCACTAATGGTCTAGTGATCCGGGTTTCGAAACTCACCACCGATAAGTTTTTCATTTTTCAAAATAAATTAAAAAAATGGAAATTCTTACGAATCCTTTAAGATACCCTATGGGTACCCAGTCGGCAAATAACGTTGAAATAACGTTGAAATATCGTTGAAACCTAACGTTGAATTAACGTTGGTTTAACGTTTAGAATGAAAGTTTTTTTCAACGTTGATTTATCAACGTTAAATCAACGTTAGGTTCAAACGTTATATCAACGTTGATTCGACGCGAAAAAACGTTACGTCAAAACGTTATGTCAAAATGTATATATGTATGTAAACGTGCTATGTGCGTCAAAATATGATCACCATCAAAACGTACTATACATGTACATTAGTGTTGCTGTACATTATCAAGGTATATTATGGATATTAAATCTATTCATAGTCTATACTTAGACTATTTAGAACTTTTTCAGTTTAGTTTAGTTAAAATAGCTAGGTATGATTAAAGAAAGAGATAAAACTTGTTTTATTCAAAAATACATATTCAAATATTACATATATTTACATGTAATTGAATAAAATCTACACAAATTTCTTCTCTTGTCCACCATCTTTTTGAAATAAAGCGTAATTTAGAAAGTCAAACAATGTTCCATTAACCGAGGGTTCTTTTGGTCCATTGAGTACAATATAAGAAGCTGTAAATAAAAAAATATATTAAAAAAAAAACAAAAAGGGAAGATTTAAAAAATAAATAATGAATGGAAAAGTGTTACAACTTATGAAGGTATATCTTTTTCAACGCCATATAGATTAGTGTTCTTAAAACATATTTTTCCACCTTTGCCCTTCATATCCATGGAGGCCATATAACTTTTCGAAAATACTCTGAGTTTTTAAAAAATGATATAACTGTTAGTTGGTTATTAATAACTTTTTCAAATATTTAATTTAAATAAAACAACCTTTTTAATATATTAAAAATAAATTAATAATCAAAATATAAAACATTTCTAGCATTGAAAAATAATTTTCGGGGTGGCCACATAAAATTTTTATAAGAAATTTTATGTGGCAATTTAATAATGGTTTAACGTCCATGTTTATACACTTATGGGGCTTGGACAGGGATCAAATAATGTCATTTGCTATGTTAAATAGCATGCATTTTCTAAAGCAATTTTTTACAATTCCATGCACTTTAAGGCGTTAACCAGTTTTGCAGACCGAGAATGGGTATTTTGAACATTATACATCCATCAAAAATTAAAAAAGGAAGAATTAATGAGGAGCTTTGATTAAATTTTTACCTCTTTAGAGGATAATAGAGGATTTTAGAAGTGTTTTTAAAAAAAAGAGGACTTTAGAGGATTTTAGAGGAGCTGCAGACACCCTGATTATAAATGAGGTAACTCCACCAATTAACTGTAATTGATTTATCTGTATAAAAACATGAAGTAAATCTAATATTATGCTTGTGGAGATATATTATATTGTGGAGAACCATCCAAACCACACAAGTGGAAAATTTGCATCCAAGTTTCCACTTGTGTGCAAATTTGCATCCACTTGTCAACATTCTCATTATCACATTTTTCTTTTGTAGTTGTGAATTTAAAATTTTCACAATACTGTTTGCTTTCTTTTAGAATTGAAATAGTTATACAAATAGTTATATATTTTGTATCAACAAAATAACTCTTCTTACCACATTATTTAAAAAATAATAATTGTAATATATAGATGTTATACCTGAAGAGAATTTAGTTTTTATTTGTATAAACTTAAGCCAATTCTTCTCTGCATTTTAGTGCAGTCAATGCTTTGGTACCTGGAAGCCAACAAACAGTTTTATCACTAATCCAATCAGATGGAATTACTTCTTCTTGTAAATCTTCATTCCAAACAGCTCCTTTCCGCATATTCGATTTTGAAAAAATTACATGAACTAATATAAAATGAAGAAACCATAATATAAGTGTACTAACAGGCCTAATTAAACTAGCTAAATTTGAACATTTTATAACCATGATACTTGCTAAACAATAATATTAGTAGACATTATAAGCAAAGATAAGATTTTCTTTATTTTATAAATTTATTATATTTTAAACTCATTTTTATTAATTTATTTATTACTCTATTATTCAGCAGAGTTCTGAATATATTATGTTCAAATAACTTAAGGCTCAATAACAAAGACAAATAATGAAAGAATACTAGGTTGCTAAAACATAAACATCTACATAAGATAATTATGGAATATTGAAAAAAACTAGAAATACAAAAAACAAAAATACTTATTATTAATATAAAATATAATAGTATAATATAAGGTATATTATAATATATGACACAATAATATCTACTTTTAATTAAAATATAAAAACAACAAAAATTAAAAAAGAAAATATTTTGATAAATAATAAATTATCATTCAAACAATTTTCAAGACCAAAAAATAACTTGTAACTTATTTTTTTACTTATCTTCATTTAATAAACATTACTTATTTTTTACTTTCTTTACGTCTTTATTTAATAAACATTAATATTAATACCAATTTTAAACATTAGAATTTTTTTTTTATCAAAAAATAAAAATATTACATCAGTTACTTTTTGA